TAGTGTTCCTAACTTATTGATGCATGATGTTTTCCAGTACCGCCTCCATCATTTTAGCCCTCCACGTTTCTGGTCTCTCATGTGGCTCTAGGTTTTCCCAGTCAATCTCCTTGTGGATGAAATCACCCACAACTGCTGTGTCCACCATTGCCTTGTGTGTGTACTCACTTATATGTGGTTGTGGGGGTCGATTCACAGCTCCTGGCCCCATCTCTTTGCTACCCGCTACTAGGTCACTCTTTCCCTGCTCCTAAAGCCTTATCATATCTCTTCTTAAAGCTATGTATGAATCTTGCCTCCACTACTTCACTCTCCAGATTATTCTACTTCCTGGCAACTCTAAGACTAAAGATATAGTTCATAACATCCCTATGACTCATCTGAGTTTTCAACTTCCAGTTGTGACACCTTGATCCTGTGTCCCAGCTCTGGAATATTCTAGCCTTGTCCACCTTGTCAATTCCTCTCAGTATTTTCCATGGCAGATCTTAGGATCCGTTTAGATCCAGCTGAGTGGAAAGCGGAATTCAACGGAGTGGATGTGCCCTTCTGGGGCGTGCGCTTAGGATCCACTACGTGCTACTCTGTCTCAGAGTATGCACAGTGCCTAGAATCGTTGGAAACCGGTGGTTATCAATATTTGCACCAATAACTCATTACAGTTGTGACCGGGTGTGGAAGTGTGAATTGCTCATTACTCTATAATTTGTTCATGATTGTAGCCAAAGTATAAACGTAAGTAACCATTCTACAGAATTCATTACTTTGTAACTTGTGAGCTCTTACCTTTGTACCTAGTTCACATCAAAACTTTGGGGCCCATCCACTGGACCCATTACGTACCTCTGTAATCTGTAAATACCTTTGTAACTTGTCATGATTGTGACCAGACTTACCTGGAGTTCATTACCTTTGTAAATTGTGAGTTCATTACCTTTGTAAATTGTGAGTTCATTACCTTTGTAAATTGTGAGTTCATTACCTCTGTAACTTGCTCAGCTATCAAAACTTTGGAGTCCAGTCCCTGGACCAATTATGTACCTCTGTAATCTTTTGACTACCGCCCACAGGATGGGTATGGGGTGCATAATAAACATATTAAACTAACTAAACTATTTTATACGTCGTTACCATGTCCCCCCCATATCCTTCAGTGTCATCAGGTTGAGTTCCCTTAACCCCTCCTCATAAGACATACCCCTCAGATCCGGGACTAGTCTTGTTGCAAACTTTTGCACTTTCTCCAATTTCTTGACGTGTTTGACTAGGTGTGGGCTCCATATTGGTGCTGTATACTCCAATATGGGCCTGGTGTAAACAGTGTACAGTGTCTTGAATAAATCCTTATATGTCGAAACGCAGTTCTTACATTTGTCAGACTGCATATGCGTGCAGAGGTTATTTGATTGATATGCGCCTCAGGGGATATGCTCGTATGATTTTCACCCCAAGATCCTTCTCCTTGAGTAAGGTTTGCAGACTTCGGACCCCGGGCCAGTACTCCGTCTGCGGTTTTACTTGTCCTTCCCCAAGCTCCATAACTTTGCACTCGTTAAATTTAAACTTCACGAGCCATTTGTCAAACCAGGCCTGTAGCCTATCCAGATCCCACTGAAGTCTTTCCTGGTCCTCGTCCGCTTTATTCTTCTCAGTAGTTTCACATCATCTGCGAACAGGGATACCTCCAACTCTATCTCTTCTGCCATGTCATTCACTTACACAAGAAACTGCACCGGCCCTAGGACTGATCCATGTGGAGCCCCACTCGTCACATGCACCTATTCCGACACCTCGTCACGGGCCATCACTCCTTGTTTCCTTCCTGCCATATATTCCCTGATCCATTGTAGTATTTTTCCTGTTATTCCTGCCTGCCTGCCAGTGTAATCACCTAGTTGAGATTGCAGGGGTCGAGTCCTAGCTCCTGGCCCCGGTGCGTGTGTGTGTCAGTGTTATTGTTGATCACTGCGTTGAGGAAGAAGTATTCGGAGACACGCTATATGTCTCGCCCTGTTGCATGTGTACCCGGAAGCTACTGGTTGAGAGTTGCATTTGCTACAGGTCATGGATATCTAGCAGTTTCAGCGTCCATACAATAAGTGATATCATTATTATTATTATTGCAGTTATGGGGTTTAGGCCCTCGCCAGAACTCACACACTATATTATATAAAATATCAACATTTTATATATACCCTGGCAACAAATGTTATTTCTTGTGTAACTTTTTATTTTATGAGATATTAGCAAAAATGATACATTAAGTACGGCCAACAGTAACAGCCTGGTTGATCAGACCCTGATCCACCGCGAGGCCTGGTTATGGACTAGGCCGTGGTGGCGTTGACCCCCGGAACACTCTCCAGGTATATGAGCAGTACGTCAGGTGTAAATCCAGGTGTAACGCGTCTGGCCAATCAGAGCAGCATAAACAAGCACACATCGAATGTAAACAAAGACGCGTCATTCCCATATCTACCGCTGGCGGAGGTCTGGTCTGGGACCGGGCTGCTGGGGCATTTACTTCCCTGGACCACTGTCGGCTAAGTGGAGTAGGTGTATGCAAAGTGTGTGCTGGTGGAGGTGGAGGAGGCATGTTGTGCTAGTGGTGGAGGCATATGGTGGTGGAGGGGTCATGTATTGGTGTTGGCGGTTGGGAGCAAATAGTGGGGACGTGATACACAAATAACCCGCACATAAAAGACAGAAGCTTACGACGACGTTTCGGTCCGACTTGGACCATTGACAAAGTCACACCGTGCGGGTTATTTGTGTATCGTTCCAGTCACGGTATTGTGCCTTTTTGTTATTTATTTGTGGGGACGTGAGGTTGTGGTGGTGGGGGGCGTGTTGGGTGGCGGTTGGGGAACAAGCGGTGGGGGCGTGTTGGGTGGCGGTTGGGGAACAAGCGGTGGGGGCGTGTTGGGTGGCGGTTGGGGAACAAGTGGTGGGGACGTGTGGTTGTGGTGGACGTGTTGGGCGGCGGTTGGGGAACGAGTGGAAGGGACGTGTGGTTGTGGTGTTGGGGGGGCGTTGGGCGGCGGTTGGGGAACGAGTGGTGGGAACGTGTGGTTGTTGTTGTGGTGGTGGTGGTGGTGGGGGGGGGGCGTGTGTTGGGCGGCGGTTGGGGAACAAGTGGTGGTGGCTGAGGTGTGGGAAGGTGCACACTGTAAGCACATGTCGGGCGTGTGGTAGGGGCGGGAGCTCGTATGAGTAGTGGTAGTGTAGTGGGGTGTACATTCTGAGGTAGTGTTGGGATGTACAACTTCTGAGGTTGTAGGGTGGTGTATGTACAATCACTGAGGTGGGGTGTACAATTTCTGAGGTTGTGGGGTGGGGGTGTACAATTTCTGAGGTTGTGGGGTGGGTGTACAATTTCTGAGGTTGTGGGGTGGGGTGTACAATTTCTGAGGTTGTGGGGTGAGGTGTACAATTCCTGAGGTTGTGGGGTGAGGGGTGTAAAATTTTTGAGGTTGTGGGGTGGGGTGTACAATTTCTGAGGTTGTGGGGTGGGGTGTATAAATTTCTGAGGTTGTGGGGTGTACAGTTTCTGAGGTTGTGGGGTGGGGTGTACAATGTCTGAGGTTGTGGGGTGGGGTGTACAATTTTTGAGGTTGTATGGTGTGTACAATCTCTGAGGTTGTGGGGTGTACAGTTTCTGAGGTTGTGGGGTGGTGTGTACAATCTCTGAGGTTGTGAGGTGTACAATTTCTGAGGTTGTGGGGTGTACAGTTTCTGAGGTTGTGGGGTTTACAGCTTCTGAGGTTGTGGGGTTTACAGTTTCTGAGGTTGTGGGGTGGTGTGTACAATCTCTGAGGTTGTGAGATGTACAATTTCTGAGGTTGTGGGGTGTACAATTTCTGAGGTTGTGGGGTGTACAGTTTCTGAGGTTGTGTGGTTTACAGTTTCTGAGGTTGTGGGGTGTACAGTTTCTGAGGTTGTGTGGTTTACAGTTTCTGAGGTTGTGGGGTGTACAGTTTCTGAGGTTGTGGGGTTTACAGTTTCTGAGGTTGTGGGGTGTACAGTTTCTGAGGTTGTGGGGTGGTGTGTACAATCTCTAAGGTTGTGAGGTGTACAATTTCTGAGGTTGTGGGGTGTACAGTTTCTGAGGTTGTGGGGTTTACAGTTTCTGAGGTTGTGGGGTGTACAGTTTCTGAGGTTGTGGGGTTTACAGTTTCTGAGGTTGTGGGGTGTACAATGTCTGAGGTTGTGGGGTGTACAGTTTCTGAGGTTGTGGGGTGGTGTGTACAATCTCTAAGGTTGTGAGGTGTACAATTTCTGAGGTTGTGGGGTGTACAGTTTCTGAGGTTGTGGGGTTTACAGTTTCTGAGGTTGTGGGGTGTACAGTTTCTGAGGTTGTGGGGTGTACAGTTTCTGAGGTTGTGGGGTGTACAATGTCTGAGGTTGTGAGATGGTGTACATCATGAGTATTGTATATATGTTTTGGGGTGTACAGTGCGTGAATTGTAGTGGAAGTGTATAATGGGTGATGTAGCGTAGCGGAAATAGAGTTTAAATACAGGCGCACACAAGTAGCTATACAAATTTAGATTACAGTTATCATACATTGTAACATATGTGTAAATTATGATATATATATATCATGAGTAGCTGAGGTAGTGAGGGTATGGAGGTGTACATGAGGAGTTAATGAAGTACAATAGTAATGGAAGGGGTATGTAAGTACATACGTGTGGAGGTGTACAAGAGTGGGTAAAATAGTGTGATGTCGGGTGTATGGAGGGACTGATGTGGATGTGGAGGTGCACACAAGTGGATGAGGGTGTGGATATACACAATAGTAGTATATGTGGTGTATATGAGGTAGTGTGGTGGTGGTGGTGGGGGTGTGGCAGGGGTGGCTGGCAGGGTCGCCCTCACAGTAAACAGGCGCACACCTTCCCTCCTCTGTTTATTGTTGGGGATGATGGGAAGTCATAGTCGATGCCAGGAGCGCCTTATTCTCGCTTCAATAAAATAAACATGTAGAAATGCCCACCCACGCCTTATACCGCTACACGTACACTGCCTTTAGAATGAGCGAGGTAGCAGTATGTGAATGTGAGCGCTAGGAGAGCTCAGAGAGCCTCACATGGAGCTTAACATTACCTTCTATGTACACTTCCTCAAATTGTGAGCTCGCAAGAGGGTGGCTGTTCCCCCGAGCAGCTTCTTCCCCGGCAACGCTGCTCACTTTACCCAATTATTCCTCCAGGAGGCCTTTTGTGGCAGCCAGAAGCCGGCCAAGTGACACTAATTAAGTAAAAGCGGGTGGGGAGGCAGCAGTTAATGGTGTATATAAGAGAGTGAGGAGTGTGAAAGAGAATTTAAGAAGCGGGGAGGCGCCACACTCTCGGCTGCACCAAACCCCACCCCATTTGGCTTAGATTTGACCTGTGTGAAGGAAATAACAAAAAATTGAGAAAATTCCCCGATTACGCGCCGCTTCCCCTTCGTGGAGAAAGGCGGGGAAAGAGAAGAGGAAGAAGGATAGTTTAGTAAGGAGATTGTGGTGAAAGTCGTCAAAATTACCGCGATAATATTAGTTGATCAGCAAACATGGCGTGCTGCTTAAGTGAAGAAGCCAAGGAACAGAAGAGGATAAACCAAGAGATAGAACGACAATTACGCAAGGATAAGAGAGATGCTAGAAGAGAACTTAAACTACTATTATTGGGTAAGCGTGTAAGCGTAATTTTGGTGTGATAAGTGCCGTGAAGTGTAAATAAATTGAGAAAGTGTGTCGGTATTTGGGTGGTCTGCAAGTTGCATCTCGCCCGTCAAACAAAATTGTTTACATTATCATCATGTGAAGGTTTTGTGTTGAAATGCCGCTACTGCGCCGTTCTTTGAGCTCTGTAGGCCACCACCACACGTATTATTTTGCCTCGAGGAGCTTTATTAGCGAAATAATGGTATTGTTATGGTGTGGGTATAGTGTTTTGTGTGTGGCTCAGCTGATTGTTGTTGGTGTTGCCCTGCATGTTGACACCTCCACACCAGCCTCTCCAGCCCTCCACCACAACCCTCCACACCAGCCTCTCCAGCCCTCCACCACAACCCTCCACACCAGCCTCTCCAGCCCTCCACCACAACCCTCCACACCAGCCTCTCCAGCCCTCCACCACAACCCTCCACACCAGCCTCTCCAGCCCTCACCACAACCCTCCACACCAGCCTCTCCAGCCCTCCACCACAACCCTCCACACCAGCCTCTCCAGCCCTCCACCACAACCCTCCACACCAGCCTCTCCAGCCCTCCACCACAACCCTCCACACCAGCCTCTCCAGCCCTCCACCACAACCCTCCACACCAGCCTCTCCAGCCCTCCGCCACAACCCTCCACACCAGCCTCTCCAACCCTCCACCACAACCCTCCACACCAGCCTCTCCAGCCCTCCACCACAACCCTCCACACCAGCCTCTCCAGCCCTCCACCACAACCCTCCACACAGCCTCTCCAACCCTCCACCACAACCCTCCACACCAGCCTCTCCAGCCCTCCACCACAACCCTCCACACCAGCCTCTCCAACCCTCCACCACAACCCTCCACACCAGCCTCTCCAGCCCTCCACCACAACCACTCCACACCAGCCTCTCCAACCCTCCACCACAACCCTCCACACCAGCCTCTCCAACCCTCCACCACAACCCTCCACCACAACCCTCCACACCAGCCTCTCCAACCTCTCCACCACAAACCCTCCATACCAGCCTCTCCAACCCTCCACCACAACCCTCCACACCAACCTCTCCAACCCTCCACCACAACCCTCCACACCAGCCACTCCAACCCTCCACCACAACCCTCCACCACGACCCTCCACCACAACCCTCCACACCAGCCTCTCCAGCCCTCCACCACAACCCTCCATACCAGCCTCTCCAACCCTCCACCACAACCCTCCACACCAGCCCCTCCACCCCTCCACCACAACCCTCCAACACCCACATTATGCTACCAGGTTTCAAATAATACCGTGACCCGGGAAGTTACTAATTATTAACTTAGGAAATGAGAGTGTAAAAATTCATTGATTTAAGTTTGGGTTGAATTTTTCAGTTTTGGATTGACTGGGTATGGGCGGGGTATTGAGAGAACAGTATCACTAAGGCAAGAGTAGCAGCAGAGTCATACTTTCCTGGGGAATTAGGAGAGGAGGTGTCTGCAGATAATAATTGACAGATCTGTCAACTAAAGACCATTGAGTGTTTTAGTTGATGAATGAGACATGTGCAGCACCCGAGTATGTGCAGCACCTGGGTATTTTAATTAAGAACATAAGAACGAAGGAACACTGCAGAAGGCCTACTGGCCCATGCGAGGCAGGTCCAAGTCTCCTACCGGCTTAAGCCAATGCACCCAACCTAGTCAGGTCAGGTCACATTGACTTAAGGGAGGAACACGGCAACCGACCTGGTAGCACAAGCTATCGGGTCCAACTCACATCCACTCATGTATTTATCCAACCTATTTTTAAAGCTACACAACGTTCTGGCCTCTATAACTGTACTCGGGAGTTTGTTCCACTCATCCACAACTCTATTACCAAACCAGTACTTTCCTATATCCTTCCTGAATCTGAATTTTTCCAACTTAAAACCATTGCTGCGAGTCCTGTCTAGGCTAGATATTTTCAGCACACTATTTACATCCCTTTATTTTATTCCTGTCTTCCATTTATACACCTCAATCATATCCCCCCTAATTCTACGTCTTTCTAGAGAGTGCAGATTCAGGACCTTAGTCTATCCTCATAGGGAAGGTTTCTGATACATGGGATCAACTTTGTCATCCTCCTTTGTACATTTTCCAGAGAATTTATATCCATCCTGTAATACGGTGACCAAAACTGTGCAGCATAATCTAAATGAGGCCTAC